TAAACTTAAGGATTCAGTGAGCCTGTTGCTTCACAGCAATAAACTAGAATGTCAGCCACGAATACTTAACTGGACACCGAGTTCCTTGAAACAGAGAGGGAGGTACTATTTCTCTCACTGTGACTGCCGAGCACACAGTCCTAGATCACAGCTAGTTACTGCCTTCTTGTTATTTTATGCTTAATGTTAGGACCACACACATATATAGTGAGCTGATTAAACCATTTGTTTAAGCATTCATTTTTTCCAATGCCAGGAAACGCTTACTGGGTACCAGCCACTCTTTGCTTTATACTTTTATGGTCAGATGGTGAGGGGAGAGACCTACCTACATCTTACACGGCATTACATGTGACAAAAAAATGTCATACATCGAGATGTGGGATCTCACAGGGGTGCTGACAGAGTGTCTGCGTTGGAGATGACATATGAGGGAAGCTGCCACAGTCAGGTTGACACCTGCTCTGTTTGTTCTTACTTAGTCTTTAGGAGGTCAAACAAGGTCATTTTTGTCATCCCCTGTCTCCACTCCTGTGCACTGGCTTTGGATAGGGAAGGGGTTGACCTGATGAGGAGAGAGGAGAGTCATCTATAGACTCATCTTCCCCCAAATGCTGTGGATGGAATTGTAGAGTGTAAGCCCTGTCTCTTCTACTGTCTGATGGCTCCATCTCCTCCACTGTTGGATGGATCTGGTGCATGTCTAGAGGCTTACTGCTAACCATGGCTTGACAAGGAGCAGGTGACATATCAGGCACACAGAGACCTCTGCAAGAAACCAGTATTAGTATCTCTTTCTCAGTAACAGAAAAGAGATCACGTATTTTCTTCCCCCACTGCTGTGGCTGGGCCTGAGTGACAAGCTGGGCACACTGAGCTATTGACCATGAAATAGGGAGTAGAGTGGCCACGTTTACAGAAGAGTCAAATCTTTTTTTATAAGTCAACTATTTTTTTTATTGTACTTATGGCTGAATCACTTTCTTTTCTTTTTATTTGTTTTAATTTTTATTTATTTTTTTAAATCAAATCGTAATTTTTACTTATTCACACAGGGGTTATAAACACAAAAAGGCAAGACATGGGGAAGGGGATGACACTGAAGCGTGGGTGTTCAGGGGGAGTACAGATATCTTTCAGAACAGGGTATTGGCTGGGTGGAGGTTCAGGGGACAGGTCACTATGACTCTGCCTATGATTCACTTGTCCTTATCTAAGTTGGTAATATCTGCCGAGGCTACCTATTTACAAGGTCTATGACTACTCAGGTTGGTAAATTTCCACAAAAGCTGCCTGTTTACAATAACTTATAGCCTTCTGTTTCAGTGTTTTTCCACAGAGACCCAAGACTTTGTATTAGCATGCATGTATGTCAGGCCTATTGCTGATTTTAGGCCTATGGCTGATTTTAGGCCTTCGGTGTATAAGCAGGGCTGCCCCTGACATCTCCTCCCTTCTCTATGTATAGAAGGGCTGTGGTGATTCTAATCTTGTGAAGGCAGGGATAGAGGCAAGCCAACTATTTTTCAAAGAACCTATTTGTGTGTATGTACCACATATGCAGGTGCCTGCAGAAGCCAGAGGAGGGTGTCTAGGTCCCTAGAACTGGAAATACAAGCAGGTATGAGCTACCTAACATCTGTTTTCTGGCAGAGGAACAAATGCTTTTAACTGCTGAGCCATTTCTCTAGCTATGCTGACCAGTGAACTCTTAAAGATGCAGGTGCTAGGGCACTCTGCAAGATTCTGGAAAAGTTATGGGTGCTAAAAGGGACTGAGGGACAGGTTACCTGGCATCCCCCAGCCCTCACTGCGTACACACACTAGGTCTCTCTTCTTCAATGGTTCTTCCAATCACCACACTGATTTTGGCCAGATAGGCCCATTGAAATTTCTAGTTGGCTAGACCCTTGAAGAATTGCTAAGATTCTTCCGTGGCCCAATATTTCTGCTTATTTGAATTAATTCAAGACAGTGGTACTGAGGTGCAACCAAGCAAATAGAACGGCATAATGGGGGAATACGATGACTCTTTTCATTTGTAACATAGATCACCAATCCAACACCACCCCTGCAACTTTAAAAGGTGACTGGTCAGCGTGGCTAGAGAGAAGGCTCAGTAATTAAGAGCATTTGTTGCTCTTCCAGGAGACCCAGGTAAGGCAGCTCACACCTGCTGCAGGATTTTAAATGCAATCGTGTTTTAGGAAAAAGACAGTTAAAAATAGCTTTAGTTAATCTTCCTACAGATGGAAGATAAAGTAGTGATTGAGTCACAGCCTCCAAGCTATCAGATCCAAACACCAGAGGGGCTCTGTGCAGGGAGACTTAGTCTCTAAAAATGAAACTAAGCAGGATGCATAGCAAGTACCTGGTCACCTGGGTGTGACACCTGTCACACTGAGGCCATGACATATATATTCTTCTCTTAGTTGTCTGCCTCATCCTCACCATAGACTCACAGCCATGAGTGGCCATGGCCAGCCAGTGGTGAGTTTTGGCCTGGGAACCTTACACCAAGGGTATTCTTTGTGGGCTTTTGTTTTTCATTACACTGTGACAGTTACCATTGATTGGCAACTTGACAGAATCTAGAACCACCGAGAAACCACACCCCTGACACGTAGGGAGTTTCTAAATTAGGTTAATTGAGATATTAAGACCCATCTTAAATATGGGTGGCTCCATTTCATAGGCTGGGGTCCTCCTTACTGAGGATGCCTCAGGCTGCTGCAGCCATACCTTCCCCCTCGTGAAGGACTGGGCTTTCATATCGAGAGCTAAACAAACCTCTTCCCTTCTTGAGTTACTTTTATCAGGCATTTTGCAAGAACAATAAGGAAAGTAACCTATATGCCGTCCTTTATACTTGCAAAGCTTAAACATCTTAGCTTTGCCTATTTGGGTTCATTAAGACCACTGATGTCAAAGAGTCAAGCCTGTGTCAGCTCTGGAGGCTTCCCCATGCTGACACAGCTGACTGGGGCACAGCTTCCTAATGATGAACATGCCCACTTACTCCACACACCCCCAGGGATGAGCGTGAGTTTGCAGAACCACACACAACAATGTGCAGCACACTGATGAGTCCCATGCAGTCCTCCAAGGAACTTCATCTACACACACGGTTACAGGGACAGCACTCAAGTATACTGGATATGGAAGCTAAGGATGTGTTATGTCTTGGATATATGGTGGTGCCTGAGTCGTATGTGCTGAGAGATTGGTGGTCACACCATGGGGACGATTGGCTCACAAAAACACTGATGTCATTCGTGAAATAATCCATCAACTCATTCTTAGCCAGATGAGCCAAATAGTAAGTAGAGGCTGCAGGAACTGGTTCACTAGGGCAGGCCATCCAAGGATGTATCTCTCCAGTACACCGCCCTCACACCCCACCCCTGCTTTTTAGCTTCCACAAGGTAGGCAGCTCTGCCCACCACACACCTTCTCACAGGGCGTTCTGCTTCCTCGTGAGCCCAGAAACGAGGAAGCCAGCCAACCATAGACTGAGACTTCTGAAACCCCGAGCCCAGAGGAACTCATTCCTGGCTGTTTTCCAAGGTGCTTTCTCATAGTGAAGGAAACCTCTGAGATATAATGATATTCCATGTGTGTGTGTGTGTGTGTGTGTGTTTAGGTAGGTGTGCTTACCTGGAGGGTTGATATTAGGTGTCTTCCTCTGTCACTCTCTAAGTTTATTTTTATTTTATTTTACTTTATTTTATTTTAGATAGAGTCTTTTGAGGAACAGAGTTCCATTTTAGCTGGACTGTCTGGCCTAGGAGTACCTGTGGTCTGCTGTCTCCGTACCCAGTGCTGGGATCATAGGTGCCCACCCCAACTCATCATGGCCCATTTTTAAAATGAGAATTCTCTATCTGAAAAGAAACAATGATTTTATGTAATCAGATACTTTGATGCATTTATCCAAAACGTAATCACACACACACACACACATAAACACATATACATACACACACATACTTCACACACCACACAA